AACTAATTTCGTCCAAAAGGGCTGAAACGATAACACACGTTGGAGTTTGGTCTTGTTTGATACCGCTCGAGAAGACAGTCGTGTAAGCAACGAGAAACTACACAAGGGAAACGTTTGTCGGTGCCACTTAATGAAGGTACCGGTCGTCATAAAGACCTAACTGAATTCAAAAGCCACGTTATATCCTTTACAGACATAAAAACGTTGCCACACGGAAAAGGATTTGGAGGTGTAAAGCTTTCACACAAATATTGCCTGTATATTAGAGCATGGCAAAGGTGCCGTAGACGTCTTCCCAATTCGTATACACGATCTCTGCCAACTTAGCCTGTGAACAGGCTCCCGATTGAGTTATAGGGAAACAATAAAAACGCTTAACAAAACAAGCGGCTTGTCGTTGTACACCTTAGATCTGGGTGTCATGAATTTCCTTTTCGGTATATACGAATCACATAGCCTGGTATTCGATAATAATTTGTATATCCAAGATCTGGATGCCATGAATTTCCTTTTGGGTAAGTGAATCCCACACAGATGGTCTCTTACTAATGGATAACAAGAGTTTTTCTTAAATGTGTTCCAGGTTCCTTGTGATAAATCCAACAGTAAAAATAATTAAGGTAAAACTTTATTTAGCCACCGGGTCAGCCTTCGTGATAAAGTTAGTAACATATAACGAATATTAAACTTGATCGAGGTCCTTAAAGAGTTCCACTCCTAAATATTTATTTTGTTTAAGCTGTTTATTTATGGTGCATTTCTCCTTTGCGCGGAACCTCCTCCGCTATTTTTCTCTTTGGACTCATTGAAGAACGCCCTATGATTATTGACTTCATTAGGAGCCTAGGAAGCTTAGGCCCGGTCGTCAACACTACACCGGAGAAATTTAAAAACGCAACAATCAGCGGTCATTTTACACTTTTGTTTGAGGAAATCTCGGCCAGGGAAATCACATGGTTCTCCTGATCCTATCTTGTTCGAAAAGGTCCGTTTTAAAATGTTTTCCGTCCACGCGAAAACTCTAAACCGGCGTTTTCAACTTCCTCCGGTTTGCAGAGCGTTTTCGAAAAGTTCCGTTTTCGTGACGGATCACTCTGTACCGTAGCGTAACTGTAGAAATAAAGCTGTATGCGTTTTTAAATTCCTCCGGCGTAGTGTAGACGGATTCTGGAGCAAACCACGACGTTAATGAGCACCACCAAACAAAAGGTTTAATGAGCAAAACAAAGGCTATACAAGTGTATTCAGTAAACCTTTGTACATTTCATAGCCGTCCTCTGTAAAACAACAAGGCAAAATGACCGCGAACGCGCACGATGAGTCGAACTGCTAATTTTTAATTTTTCCATTTAGAATTAAACGCTGTCATTACATATTTAGCCTGAGCGAGGTTTTAGAGCCATAGGCATCTTGGACAAATTCAACTTTACAAGGCGTTGGCCTCGGCGTCGCCGTCGTCATTGTTAAAATCCCTATATTTGCATCGCGGATGCTGGAAGGTCGATACACTTGTGTAACGTGGGGTCTGTTATCCGAAGTGGCTGCTTTGTGCTTTGCTCATGTTTTATTCCAAGACCATATCCAGTCGAACGCAGATGAGAGTTCGTGTAAAACCGTAAAAAATCACATGAATTGCAGCTCTTTGCCAAGAATCTTTTTAATTCAGCAATCAAGTTGTCGAGCGTTTCGGTAGGAAGCTTTCCCCTCCTGCTGAAACAATCTCGTTTACGTTACTTCGCCGATGTAATACCTTTTTATCTTCCCCTTTACTAAACGGCAATCGTTTGCATCTCCTTCTTCAGTATAGCTTAAGGCTTTGAACAATTAAAAGCTATTGTCATCAACATATATAACGTCCTTGAACATGGAGAGTTGATACTCGGGGCTTTCCCGCTATAAGCCAGGTAATTATTACAGCATTTCTCTTTCCATAGCTTCCAGTTCTCGGGGATCTCGCTGCTTAACTGACCTCAAATCTAAATGTTGCGGAGACAATGATATCTTGTGGAATAACATTGAAAGTTGTGATGCTTTAGGCGGCGAGGCACCGGAAGTAGACGGTTGACGTTGTCGACGAATTTCAACTACCCTTTCGTTACAACATGTAATATCAGATGGCAGAGAGAATCTTAAACGAACGTCATCAATCAATGCTTAATCCGGCCACTGTAACGCAAGATACACAAGATGAATGCGTATTTTAATATATAACTGTATGTATAGCATAAATTACAAAGTCGTTACAGTACATAATAAGCGTGCATATAAAGAATGTTTGGCAAATTAGCATATAACCTTAAATTAAGGTATGTCCGCCATTTTGAATAATCAAATCCAGCTGGTGTCTGAAACTCGTTTGTCCAGTTTGGCTATGACGTCAGTGCTTTCTCATTGGCTCACAACCAAGCCTTTAGTTCTTTCGCTTTATAAGTGCGACACCACCCGGATGGTTGGGCGGCTAGTTAATTCAAGTATTCTTCCTCAACCATCCCCCTAAATATCCCCCCAATATCCCCTCACAGCCTGCAATTCATTAATCCCCCACATATACCTACACAGCCTTTATTTTATTAATCCCCCACATATACGTACCTAGACATCCTACATCGCATTAATACCACACATACACCTACACATCCTACATCTCATTAATCCCCAGTATACACCAGCCTACACGGCCTACATCTAATGAATCCCCCACATATACCTACACATCCTACATCTCATTAATTCCTCACATATACCTACAAAACCTAGCTACATCTCATTAAACCCCAACATATACCTACACAGCCTACATCTCATTAATCCCCCACATATACCTACACAGCCCACACCTCATTGAACTCCACATATACCTACACAGCTTACATCTGATTAATCCCCCACATATACCTACACAGCTTACATCTCATTAATCCCCTACATATACCTACAGAGCCCACATCTCATTTATCCCCTACATATACCTACACAGCTTTCATCGTATTAATTCCCAACATAAACCTACACAGCCCACATGTCATAAATCCCTCACATTTACCTTGACAGTTTGCATTTCATTAAATCGTTTCTAGAGTCATTACTCATTATACTCAGTGGTTATCAACTCATGTAGAACCAAGTGGTCTTAAGATTTCTTGGAACAAGTAAATTGACTATCGTTAGTTTAGAACGAACTAGCAAAGGGTGGTCAAGGGCGAACGGGGAGAGCCGAGAGCGGAATGGTGACGAGGGGGAGCGCAATTCGCCGTATTCTTTTTTTTTCTCTTTCAGCCCTCGTCGGATTTTTTTTTTCCGTCCTCGCTGGGAGCCTGTTTGCAGGCTAGTTCACTTGCCTTGCGTTCAGCCATTCGAACGGATACCGTAAGGAACGTTTTCGCGTGAGAGGTCACATATTTGCCAATGCATTTTTGTGGTTGAATCGGCAAAGTTCTTCTTTTTAACGACCCTTTTAGGGTCGACAAAGTAAAATCGACGATGTACGATTTTTACTTGAAGCGTGATTGGCGAAAAAATTATCCGTGATGAGTGATTAAATAGAAAAATTCTGCATGATGCGTGATTGGTACCCCACCTTTGCCACCCACATGGAGGGGTCGAACTCTTTTTTGTACGAAGTAATGGGTAAGCTAATCCGAAGACGAAGAAGCCTCCAGAGAGTAAACTAAAATCACTCATATTGGCAAGGATAAACAAAATTCTGGTTCTTTAAAGAAGACAACTTAGATTTATATCTTTCGTAGGAAGAAGCGACTATGGTCCCTTCTTTACTGACGCTGATATTTTACCTGTAAATTTTCTTTATTTTAAATCAATTTGTTGTTTAGTGCATGACATTCGTAATCAAAAGACACCCAATAACATCTCAAATTTGTTCATCAATTCTAACAGCATTCAGTCTTATAACACTCGCTCCTCCGCCTCTAATAAATTCTATATTAAACACTCTTATCAGTGAGGGTTTCTTAAAAAAAAAACAATTCACTGGAAACAAAATACAGGCAAAAGTAAACGACGTTTCAACCGCTCTTCGGTCATTCTCAAGTTTAATGATGAGGGTGAAAAATAACATATAGATATATTATATAAGGAGAGAGATAATGAGGCAATAATTTTTTATTAGGTGGCTTTCTGACAATAGCTTTTACGGAAAGACCCTAACTAAGAGTAGAATTACCAGTGACCACAGAACTACCAGCTCTGTGTAGTATAGTTTCTTCTATTCATCGACTCTAGACAACTACACGAGTATAACCGTCTCATATCCACCAAGCGCGACTAGAATGATTGATATATTAATAACGCCGCCAAAATATAGAAAACTAGAGTAAAGTTGAAGAACGCCCCCAAAAATTAAGTGTACGCTTACCATATTTGTAGAGCATGGCATAATGGCTCTCATAATCTATCAAATATTTTCGCTCGAGCTTGATTGGTCTAAATGCGTCACGTGACTGAATTCTTCCCAGCTAAAACTGGGGAATATCCAAGTGATATTCCCCAGTTTTCAAAACCAGGTGTGTTGAGAAAATATTTGAAGGATAATAAACACAAAAGCCTCCATTTGGGGTGAAAATATGCTCGGATATTAGTCTTAGCCTTGGACATTATGAGCCCCTCAAGTTCACTTCTCGGAACAGATAATTTCCGGGGACAAATATCCGTGCATTTTTGTTTATATTACCATTGATGGCTAAGCCAATGAAAGCTCTTGAACGGCATTATCCAATGATCCAGTTTTTAATAATAACTAATAGCCTTTGCTCTGACTAGGGGCTAACGCTCGAAACGTCAGCCTCACAATTCAGTGTGACGGTTCAACCAGGGGCGTAGCCAGGATTTTTCAAACGGGCGATCACGCTGTGTCAAAGTGAGGGTACTCACCAGATTGTCATGTCGTTTTCGCCACCTGTTGTAGGTTTTTTGCTTAAGAAAGGCTTACAAAAGGGGGGGGGCACGGGCACCCCCAGGACCCCCCCTAGCTACGCCCCTGAATTCACCTTTACCGGTCGCAATAGCTAAAGAGAGGAATTTAAAGCCCCATTTCTAGGAAATTTATTTCGAACTGGAATCGTTAAATTTAGGCATGCGCACTGACAGTTTAGGGTGCGGCCCAAATAAGTTTGCCGTGAGGTAAATTTTTCGGCAACGATGCCGAAAAAGTTAGGCGGGCTCAGGGATTACCTATCCGGCGTGGCGAATTCTTGTTCTTAGACTTGGCGACACTAAGGGCTCATTATTTACGACTCGTAGCCTTGTACACTTTCTTAAAGCAAGAACACACAAAAGCAAATGATAGTACTCCAAATTAAAGTTACCAATCATGGTTCTGTATTTTGATGCAGTGGCTAGGCAGGGATATTTGGCGATTTGGAGTACATATACAGCCTTTCGACATTGGAATGTCCTTACGATCGACGAGACATATCTTCGCAAAGCTCATGGATAAAATAGACGTGAGCCTATATTATACACGTTCTGCATGTTGAATTGGCATGTTAATTCAATTTGGAGTCGAATAACCCCCAATATAATAAGGGGGACGGTGGGGGGAGGGGGAGGGGGTGTCAGAATCTTCCGCTTCCTGTACCCTGCTCTCTCGCTTCCCGAACCTTTATCTCCCGACTCCCACCCTTGTCCGTCTAGCTCCCGTCCCCTGTGAAAAAGGTCGGAGGCACAAAACACATCCTATTCATTTAGCTGCGCAATCCTTAGACGTTTCCTTTTCCTTTTTCCTTCCTTGTTCCTCTTACTCTTAAGGGTTTCCAATTTTACCAGAGGTAAGCTTCAGGGCGAATTTTCGTTTTTCCGTCGGCTTAGAATTCTCAAAATAAGCTAAATGTAAGTCACTGTGTAATTATGTAATTTGTTTACCCACGGAGCACCAAGGAGTTCGCAAGAAGTCGTTCAGAAATGCCCGTGCATTCCAGGATCGAATAAGTCAAATAACATTTTGAGTTCTTGTTTTTGAAAGTATTTTAACTCATAATAAATGATTCCAGCCTTCTTAGAACTCCCACTTCCCGCCCCTTCCTCTCCCGCCTTCCGCCCCCTACTCTTCCAGGCTCCCGACTCAATACACATAAAGGCTTAATGTGAAAGCCATCTTTTTAGGCTAACTACCGCTAACCGGAATGCTACTGGAACTTAAATGTTGATTTTAGCTGACTTTGCAACCTGCAACCTTGCATTTTCAGCCTCATTCTCATGTACGCCTGGCTTAGCCACCTGGCCTTACCACCCACTCCACATTAAAAACGTCATTTCCGGACGGAAGTCCCGATCCTACTCGCCGATTTTTAGCAATGTTCAAATTCCAGTGCGGCGGGCCCACAGTGCTCCACATTACCTTACAGTAGGATTCAGCAAGAAATCCGGAAAAGTATTTTATTTGGGCAACATCGTGCATTCAACCGAAGCATCTTATCACCGCAGCCAAGTGATCAAAAGTTCTGCATTTTATGAGTGCATTGTTTTGGCGCGAGAATTCGAGCCACAACATGCTGGAAATGGCGTCTAAATCGAGTGTTACAGTTGCCGTGTCAGTGAGACCCTTGAACGAGAGAGAACGTGAAAATGGCGAGGAACGGGTGGTGTGGACACGAAACGATGAAGTTCGAGTGCTCAATCCAGAAAGTAAGAAAGAGAAAGTATTTAAATTTGATCACACGGTGAGTTATTAGATACACTTGAGGTCTTTCCTTGCCAGAGCTCATCTTGGACTATATTGAATATTTATCTCATAGCCTCTATTTGTCGCTTGTTCAGCAAGCTACTGATTTTCATTATCGACAGAAATCTTTTCTTTGAATGACAAAAATCCCGTTTTGAGTCATTTACTAAAGTGGTAATTTTATCGACTAATTGTTCTGGTGTAATTTTATTTATACAGTTCTGTAGCGAACCGAATGGAGACAGCGAACCGAACACAGAGGTAAGATTTAAACCTTAAAAATATTGGATCTCGCATTCTTTTCATTTCAGACAGTACAACAACAGTTAACATCTCGGTTGAGGAAAAGTAGTTCCTTTCTGTCACTAATTCCCAGTGTGTTCATTGTGGTGTGATCTATACATAAATTAGCTTGTTTTAGTTTACCCTAAGGACCGATAACATTGAATGGCGGTAAAAGTTATCCTGCCATAACTACATAAACTACCGTGAATTTCGTGATTTAATCTCGAAATAAATATTGTTCTGTTCTAATAGTGTTTTTCATCAAGTTGATCGATTAGTCGCTTTAGCAAAAGGTGTGGACCGGATATGACAGTTTAACCAACGAATGGACGATGTGTACGGGCGACTGGTTCATGTTGGTTTTTGTTTTTCCCGTTCCATTGACCAGCGATGAGCGGGCTTTCGAAAACCACAGTACGTCGAAGAAATTAAAAACAAAAAAACAAAAAAAAACAAAACAAAAAAAACATGAGTGTAGTAGTTATAAACTATATACTTTTGCATTTATGCGAGTAACGCATGTGGGAAAAATATGCATTTTCTGTAAAATACCTGTCAAAATACCCAGTGGGATTATAGACTTGCTATTGCATGTTAACATCCTTAACATTTTTCTATATAACAATGACCTTTCAAGTATGTTACAATTTGTATAAATTATAGATATTGTAGCTTTCAGTGTGGCAATATTCTCAGATGCTGTCCACGCTATGTTATGCCCGAAAAATTTGAAAAAGGGGTTTTTTACCCAGGGCGGGGGGTGGGGCATTCCCTTATATGGGATTTTAAGTTGGCTTTCTTGTCCCCAACAGGGTATGGTTTTTGCACTCTAGTCTAGTTTAAATTGGGTATGTTTTTTAGAAGAAGCTATCCTACCTAATAAGCAGTGCCATTCATTAACATTGGTCTGGATAAGGAAACTAATAATTAATTCCCTTACAATTATAATTTATAAGGCAGGTCTGAAGCAGGGTGAATGATTAAAGGGTCAGGTCTTCAATTATTGGGTATCAAATTTTTGTCAGGTCATATTTTGGTCTTAATAAGGCTATTGTTTTGGGAAGCACACCTTACCAATTTTTTGTGGAGTACCCCTCCCCCACCTGGTTTTCACTCTGAAATCCATCCTATGTTTTCCATCCACACTACACTTGAGAAGTTTGAAAACGTAACAGTCAGCAGCAATTTTGGATTTGCATTTGAGGAAAACTTGGCCATGGAAATCACATGATTATCATGATGCTATCATTTTTGAAAAGCCTTTTTTTCAAAATGTTTTCCATTTACACTAAAACGCACAGCTGGCATTTTAAAATTCCTCTGGTTTGAAGAGTGTTTTTGAAAAGTTCTGTTTTCTTGACAGAGTAGTGTCGGGATGATAGGTTTAACCCTTAAGAAATATAGCTGTGTTTTCAAATTTCTGTGCACTAGTGTGGATGGGGCCTCATTCAAAACCTGTTGAAACTGATACATGCTAATTCTCCCAATTATAATTGGTTCTTGAGCTCAAGCAGATTTCAGTGAGAAACTGAGATACAAGATTGCTTACAGTAGGCTTACAGTTTATCATTTTTAGGAAATGCATGTAGTATTGTTTGATACTTGATTGGCAGTTCTGAACTTCCTGGCATAAAAGTAATGTAAGAAAGGCTGCAATATCACCAGTACCAGGTGCGACCGGTGTGGACATCATGTGTGGCAAAGACAGAAGGACTCTTTTTGTTATGATCAACATGGTGGCAGCCTTATCTAACTCAGAAAGACACTCACATATTGAACATTAGTGCATATGATGAACAACAGGAAGGCCGATATCTTTTCTGCAAGCCCATGACTTTCTTAGCCTGGCACAATTATTTAAGGTGTTGCTGAGAAGTTGTGAAGAAGTTGTGATCTGTGAAATTTGACAGTTAATTGCTCCCCTGAGCTGCTAAGGCTGTTGCTAAGACAGATGTGGCTTCTGGTCTAAATGTTGTAATCTATCTATTTAATTCTGCAAGATGAGCATTTGAAGCTGATTGATTTGAGAGAAACATGAAACTTTGAGTAGCAAAAATGTATTCTTGGTTTTCATGTGACATAGTCATATTCCACAATTAGAAATTATTTTTCCTTCTGAGGTTTTAGTTTCATCAGATAAAAGACCCTATAGGAACGTGACGTTTGACAATGTTTTAGCTCGAAAGAGTTCTTCTTTTTGTAATAGAGCACTCCAAGCTTTTGCATTGCGTGACATGAAAATGGCAGCCCGAAAAGACTGTCATGTAGGTCAAAAGATGAGTTATTGCTTAAGTTTTTGCTAAATAAACGGTGCTTGCACTATAAGAAGCATTTATTTCAATGTGTCGGAGCTCTAGACTAAAAATTTTCGTTTCAGTAGCAAAACTCAACGACAGATGTTTTTGTTATTTTATGGCCGCCATGTTTGTGCCCCTCCGTAGGGCACAAACGTGGCATCTCCATACAAAGTTCTATAAATTTGGGGACACACTTCCGTGAATAACGGGCGAATGAAAAACGGCAGAAACTTGATTCTTGGCGAGGTTGTTTATACAGCAATCATCTATCACATCCCAGATTCTTGAATTTATTTATTGAATGATTACGATTTTTAGTTTTGATCACATGACTGGTGAAAACCCAGAATTGGAGCAACTAATCCAGCTCTTTACTCACATTATTACAAATAAATAATAAATAAATAGATAAATTAATTAATAAATAAATAAGTAAACATCTAAATACAAATGTAAACTTGAGGAGGTACAGTGTACATGTAAGATATAACAATTAAGTAGCTACATGTATACAAGGAAATAAATAAATAAATAAATAAATAAATATAAATATACATTTATATAGCGCCATTTTCCACTAATTGTCCAATGCGCTAAATAAATAATATTCAATTTTTTTTTTAATGCAATTTGAATTCATTATTATTGTTGTTGTTTTATTCTTTTCAGATTTTGGAAGATGTTGGACAGTTTGTACTTTCGTCATGTTTTGGTGGTTATAATACTTGTGTGGTTAGTTATGGAGCATGTGGCAGTGGTAAAAGTTTTGTTATGTATGGAACTGATAAATTTGAAGGCCTTACGTCTTGGATTTGCAAGAGTCTTTTCAAAAGGGCTTCTGGATATGAAGATGACACGTCATTCAGAGCTGAAATAAGGTAAATTCCTTGATTGATTTACACCTACTGCCGCTTTGTGAACTCTGCACATGAACATTCTCTGACTCACTAGATAAATCACATGTGCGAACTGCTGTTTTTCTTTGTGGTTTTTGCCTGCTTTATTGTGTCATGATCAGGTAATTCACTGCATGATTGCATCTTTCATGATAGACTAGCATTTTTGTGATCAATGATCTGTCATTCCCCATTAATGACAAGGTCTAGGAATAGAAAAGGGATGGGGTGAAGACACCAAACTTAAAATCAGTAACTAACTTTCAAAGAACCTCCTCCCCCTTGCCCTGGCCTCTGAATTCCAAAAAGCCATCCGTGGAATAGGTATGGATACTTTCTGAAACCACTCATTTTGCCACATTTTATAGTGCGTGCGTACTTTTGCACTGTATAAGATTTTGAAGCTTACCAATTGAAATGCTTCATTTTAATTTCTAGTTTTCTGGAAATACACAAAGAATTTGTTAAGGATTTACTGGGAAGGAGAAGGAACTGGCAGGACTCATTAAGAGGTGTGTCATACCCAGCACTACTACTAAACATTGCCTTATTCTTATTCTTTTGCTAATATGTTATTGATCATGAGTACAAGCCTGAGAGGACACCCAAAATACACAGTTATTACATGTATGAGCTGATACTAGTAATACCATGTTAACTCATTTCTTGCCTTTTAACAACAAAATAAATGCAGTCGACTCCCAATAACTTGAACCCTCACTCACTCCAACCTCGTGTTTCTTTCAATTTAAGTGGCATGCCTGTGAACTAGCTATGTGTAGCTAATAGCGCATTGATCACTATAAACAACAACATTTGAACATTTTTTTGTGTTAACTCAGACCAAAGTCAATTTTTCGTGGATTCCCGTCATACATTTAATACTCTAATTCTATTCTGGGTAACTTGAACCCTTGATAGCTCAAACCTCCAGCTAACTTGAAGAGATTTTCTTTTCCCTTAGGGTCACTTTCTATATAATTTTACTCTTGATAACTCTAACCATTTTTGTCAATATGTGACAACTCAAAACAATTAGTATTGTCCCCAAGGTGGCTATTATGGAGAAGTTCAATTGTACACTAAACACCATTTTTCCTTATTTTTGGTCATTTGTTCTCAGCTACCAATAACTCATTGAAACCTTTTTCAAGTTACCTTGAAGGTTCAACTGAAGAGTTGACTGTATATAAAATTTCGTATTAAGCCATCTTTATATATGTACGGTAATAAAAGTTCTTTGACTTTTAACCAACAAAAAGAGTCCTTACATGTATGTGCCTACTGGCATAAAGAGAGATAATGATGGTGATGGTGATGATGACGATGATAATGATAACAACAGGAAATGTTTATATGTGCAATAACATGTATAAAGGGTCACATTGTCGACCCCAGCAGTTGCAATGTTGAGCTCTGGTATATCATGTTTGTTTATGACAATAAATAATTTGTTTAAATTTATAACTTCATGGTACATAATTTTAGGTAATAAACTCACTCCTGCAGGTACTTATAACTGTATTAAGTGCTAACTTACATTATTAACCTTATTAAAGTGAAAGAATGAAAGATGCGAATGCAGCCATAACACTACTGGAAAAATGACCTGAAAAAATTTCAGGGTCTGAACGGGATTCGAACCCATGACCTTTGCGTTACTTCTGCAATGCTCTACCAACTGAGCTATCAAAGCCACATGAGAGCGGTCCTGTGTGGGTTTGGCTCTATATGTTCAGTGGACATGATACTCGGCTCAAGTATATGAATTCCATGGTAATAGATGTCCAACAGTAGCTATTAAATAATGAAAGAATGAAAGATGCGAATGCAGCCATAACACTACTGGAAAAATGACCGGAAGAAATTTCAGGCTCTGAACGGGATTCGAACCCACGACCTTTGCATTACCAGTGCAATGCTCTACCAACTGAGCTATCAAAGCCACATGGGAGCGGTCGTGCGCGGGTTCAGCCCTATACATGTATGTTCAGTGGACGTGATACTCGGCTCAAGTATATGAATTCCATGGTAATAGATGTCCAACAGTAGCAATTAAATTGTTTGCAAATTCATTGTCAGTGAAGGTATACATGTATGTACATGTAAGATTCCTGTGTGGTGCTTGTTGTATTTGGTTATGCTTATTATCTTCTTTTCTGTTTGATGTTCTTATCATAGATGTACTTGCATTACTTATTACTTCCTTTTCTTTTTTATAGTTCGTGAACACCGTGAACTAGGTGTGTATGTTGACAAACTGACTAAACATATTGTTACAGACATAAATGAAGTAATAGGCTTGATTGACAAAGGAAGGAAGAACAGGTGAGGTGATATTCAGAAGTAACATAAATTACTATTAATAATAAGAAAATATATGATAAAAATGTAGTTTAGAAATAGAAAACATGTTCCATGTTTCTATCCAGTTACAGAAATATGAGTGGAAGTTTGGGAGAACCAGAAATTCTGTGGGAACACAAGCTGACAGGGGAATGTTTCCACAGCTCTTTTACGTTCTCCCAAACTTCCACCAGTGTTTCTATAACTCAATAGGAACACAGAGAACATGTTTTTTTTATTTCTTTTAAAAAGAAAACAAGGTGTTTATCTTGATCATCATAATGCAAATTCTCTTTACTTGCACCATCATTACGACAAGAGCTTGTGCTAGGTCTGTGTTTCTATTGAGTTTTAGTATAAATCTACTAGCATTCTATTATGAATGCTGTTCTCTGATCAGCTACACTGCTGACTATCTATTCTGTGATAGATAGTGAGTAGTGCCCTTGTTAGCAAAATGACGGCCACTTCTTGGCGTTTTCAAAGTATCTGTGAAGAGGATTTAAATAGTTCTGAACAACTTGTAGATTTATACTGAAACAATTAGATTATTCGTTCTCAATTTCTATGCGTAATAGTTGACTCGGGCTGTGCCCTTGTCACATACAGCATGATAGAAATCTTGAGCTCTGAATCTAATTGTTTAATAGAAACATGCTTTTTAACCAATCAGCTTGCATATTTTCTTTGGGCTATGAAATGCTAACATGATATAATACATAGTGTGAACACAACACTTTATTAGTGGACTTGTACAACTGTTACACTTGATTGATCCGCAATAGCAGATTTACATGTTGTTGTTGTCTTTATATTTAAATTTTGAATTCCCAGTTGGTTTTAAGTAACAATTGCCCTACATAGCATAAGAAACAGAAAAAGTGAAGGATTCTGGTAGTTGTAGTCAAATGACTTTATCAGGCAAATTGCGTATTAACTGATTTATAATTTCTCTTTTTCTTCATAGATCAATATGTTCCAGGGCTTCCAATTCGTTTTCTAGTAGTTCACATACAATTTTTACCATAAGGTTTACCCAGGTAATAAAATGTATTAATATACATTAACAGCAACTAATTAGACTTTATTTTACCATCATTTGTGGGAGGAGGAAGACCATATATCTCAGAATGTTCAGTTAAGTGATAATTATTCTCTTGGATGTAAAAAAAAAAAAAAATGGAAACCAATGAATTTCTTAACGACTAGTTTGCAAGTAACAAACAGCTGAGGGTCAATAAGTTTAACATAAATTAGAACTTAAAGTGTACATCAATTAATTACAACTAAAAAGCACTGAAATCTGTATTAAAATATAACAACACTCAACAATACAGGCACGTCTTGAGGGTGACTTGCCATGTGAAATGGTCAGTGTCATTCAACTTGTGGATTTGGTGGGAAGCAAGAGCATCCATAATGAGGTAAGCATGCCAATCTATTAAGTTTTTGTCGAGTATACAAATCAGGAAACAGTATATGTGGATTTTTTGACTAGTTAGGTTTCCAGGCCTAGGAAATATGTGCAAACTGAAGCAAACTAATTTTATTTAAAATTCCTTTATTTCTTTTTTGTGTCTTCTGTCCTTATGAAGCTCTTGAAATGTGCTGAGGGAACTTATGTTTCACACATAAATCATGATTTTTCTCTTTCCTAAATGTTTGATCTCACTACTGTTATACATTGAAGCTTGGGGCATCAGATGTGTTGACATGTAGGCTTAAATAGCAGTGATTAGTATTTCCCTGTTTCACATGCAGTGATCTTCGTGAGGCTGCAACATCTCAGTTTGATTGCATTTTAAATGAATGTTCCAGATTTCTTTAATTTACTTTAATTTCCTTCAATCAGCTTGATAACTATAGTATGGTAGTTGCCAAATAACACAGCATACACCGTTCATGCAGTAATCAATTGCTTCAGCAACAAAGATCCCCCCACCCCTCAAAGTAGCCATCTTCTCTTTCATAGTCGATGTAACAGTGTGGCTCTTAACTCCAAAAGTAACAAGAACTTTCTAGAAAATGGAGATCTGAGGCTATGAAATTTTGTGTTTGTAGCTTTATCTTCTTTGTCTTTTCCAGTGCGGTGACAACTGTTCTACTGCAGCTGATGCTGACAAATCACTGATGGCATTAGAAAGAGTCATGTCAACATTAGCAAGCCAAGACTCAGAGTTGGGTCCCAGTGCAGCTACTGTTCCATACAAGGACTCTGTAAGTACATCGACATTATTTTTTGCAAAGTGCTGACTGCAAACGGTTCCTTTGCTGGCACCTAAGTGCACATGTTGGCTAAGTGACTTTTCTCCTAATTGCCTGTTCTCCTCCTGTTTCAGGCACTGACATGGATACTGAAGGACTGCTTTGGTGGAAATTGTAAAACTGTAATGTTAGCAGCTGTGTCACCCTCTGCATCATGTCATAATGAGACACTTAACACCTTGAGGTTTGCAAACCAGGCCAAAAACATTGTGAATGTTCCCCAAATAAATGAGGTAGGAAACTGGATGTTAGGGGGTGGGGTGGGGTGGGGGGTTGGGGGGGATCATGAATAAGATCATCTCACGTCATTCTAAAAGATGGTACTCTCAATTGCCACAAGCCAAAAATCCTTTATTGCATTTACATGTTTAGAGGAAGGGCTACTTCAGGAAAATAATGAATGGTGCTCTTTAACGCTCTAATTTTGGATAATACATGTATCACATTGAAAGATTAATCAGTTTGTTTCTGTTGTATTGGGGCCTTGAAGATTTAATACAAGCCAAATCTCAGTGTTGTGAACATAGGTAGCCTTTTTTCTGTGTAATGTAATTATTTTAACAAAAAAGAACTGAAAGAAGTCTAAGAAAAAAGTAGGGAAGCTTGGTCACACAATCTTTGGTGCATCTTGTCACACAATCTTTGGTGCCTCTTGTCATACGATGTTTGGGGCATCTTTTGGCCGATTACTAACCTCAACTTCAAAACGCAAAATGAAACAGTTCATCAGTCGTTTAATGTTGGAATCTTTGCTAATAAAGAGAACAATTTCCAAAACGAGTTGCTGTGGAAATTGGCTGACACTTTATATACCAGTTGTTTTACCGTGAGTTGTTTTGGTACTAGTATTTCTCTTGGCCCGTATTCCTCTCTGTATTCCTCACTCTTTTTTCTTCTTTATTTGATTTCTGCCATTTTCTAAGGTCAATCTGTATATAATGAATATTTCGGTAGAAGACCTGTTGTGGACACTATACGAAAGACATGCCTGGATTTTTCATTTCGTTCAACGTGAAGTAATCTCCCGATCACTTGCCCTTCTCTACAATATCTTGGTCGTTGTCTTTTTTCAGGATTCTAATGTAAAATTGATTAAAGAACTCCAGTTGGAAATACGCAGTCTCAAGGAGACGTTAAAGGTATGTGTTTTGAATATCAACATTTTTGTAATTGAATTCTACACTAGCGTTTAAGTCGACATAATGCAGTCTGAGTTCGATTCTGCGTTTGACTCATAATTATTACCAATGAAACAGAAAACATCGGTCGCTTTGTGAGAATTCGCTTTTTATGACCAGAGCAAAACAGATCCTCCGTTGGAGAACATTTTCGCTAAAGTTACAATTCATTTATCTTTGTATAACAATCAAGTCGCACTCGCTTTCTTCGTTCATGTATGAGAAAAGTACCATCTTAGTACAGAACAGAAGCCACATATTCGGTGTAAGTTTTCACTGTAGTATTTAACCAAACTCTAGGTTTACGTTAATAGTAGTTGTATAACAAAGCGTGCTAAGAATATGCCATTATAAATGGTTTGGAAGCTTTAACATGGTAATGCAGATCGGTTCGTTTGGCGCGAACATGCACACATGTTAAGTGGTCTTGACTAATTAATTCAAGTCGCTTCCTGTCGAGAATTACCTTGGGGCCGTATAAAAAAGAAAACTTTTTAAGGTTCTTGTTGATAATATGAAAACAATAACTAACTATGGAACAAGCTTAGCACCGAGCATTTATTCGTATTTGATTCAACCACATGAAAAAAAAAAAAAAGTTTCCTACACTCCCACAAGGAAAATCTTATTCTTTTAAATGCGGAGGTGTACAACAATTCGATGGCCAATTGGGTTTTGACTGCATCTTTCAACTGTGTTTCTAACGGCGTTCTTTTCTGAATTCAATCTTATCTGTTAGCGAAGTTTTGTTGTCGATGCTTTGAGCTTACACGCTTATTTCACGAGTGTTTTGTAAGGAGAAAATTTCCATCAGCAGCTGCTACAGCCAAGCAGGTGGTTTACAATCAGGCGTTTTTAATCATTTCTATAAAGCAAATAGCACGAATAACGCGGCTACATTTGCTCGATTTTTTTTTTGAATGAAATACATTTAAAAGTATGGAAGTTTTAGCCATATTATAAATGAGAAGCAACGATACGTGCAGCAAAGCTAAAGCGTTTATTCTGCATGTGTACCTTCGAAAGGAAGGAAGGTAAAGTAATTAGTATGGAGATTGCTCTCCATGTTGACTCTGTGCAGTTTATAAGCTCACCCTCGGGTTTCTTTTATTCGTATTAAACGCCGTCTCAAATTTGTTTTGATTTTTTTTTTCTTTTGACCTGCTCGTACGAATTTACTGTGTTTATCATTAGCTCGATGCCGCTTCTACTTAAAGTCGACTCGGCATCATGTCGCTCCTGTCGGGTTATTACCATTTGTGTATTTTGTTTTCCTACCCTTATTGTCCGTTCACCCATATGCCGACTCAGGGTTGGTCACGTGTTATATTATCCATTATATGTCTTGTATCATAACCTCATTTTGACGACGTAATTTAAATAGCTAGGCGTCAGCAAGGCCTGTACATCCTTTTAAGCTAAGTCGAGTTTATCGCTTTAAGGGACCGAAATTTGCTATTCTGGTCAAATTTGTCATCCGAGAATGAGATTTGTTCGCATCTTAGCCAATGCAGTATTTCAACAGGTATAGTCGTAATCAATTTCATGAAGAAGGAAACAAGAATTTCACTCCATAAATCATTTTATTTCTTGTTTTGTTACAATTAAGGTAGATTTAGAGAATATACACTGTATGTTAACTTCTTGTGTTGCAGAGTGACAATGTTCCTAATTCTCTAGGAGTTGATAAAGCGGAGAGAAAACTACAAGAAAATGAAGACCTGATGAAGCGACTGACGGGCATTTGGGAAGAAAAATGGAGCAAAACTCAAAAGCTCATCGAGGTAAAGTGGCCGCCTTGTACTTCTCTTGTCTTGTCATCATTTTGTGGTGGCGATGTTTTGTTGTACTTTGTCCATTTGTAAATTGTCAATTCTGTGTTATTATCTGCTTTAAACCTACATAGTTTAAACGGTTTGAAAAGCTGTTCAATAAAGAAAGAGAGGAATATAATTGACAAACAGACGAAAACAACTCCTTGAGGTTTTAAATGTGGTGAATATTGTAAAATTAAGGAACTATTCACGGTAACTAGCTAGCTATTGTTATTAGCAGATCTGACCACGACATCAAATTCCGTCTGTAAACAAACTAGCAGAGCGAGGGTTTTTTTTTTGTGAAATGTACATGTAATTTTTATTGACGGATATATTAGTAAGCCTGAGGCTAGGAACATTGACATGAAGAGACAATCTTGAGCCACAGTGAATTAATTTGAAAACGCATGTAGCCGCTGGCGATGTTCGCTTTCATTAACGCTAGATTTCCTTTTTTTTCTCCAGAAAGTGAGATTTTGAACAAATTTTTTTCTTGTGTGGATAGTCCCATCGAATGCCATTCTTAAATTTAGGCTCATTTATTTGGGGGTTGATATTACACGAAAGGAATGTGGTGCGGGATATATCGGCCAGCTTTACCATGCCTTGGTGCTCGTAGCATAATAGAACGTTGTTATTTTGTAAAATTTGATCACCGTCGTTTCATTAGCTAAGGTATTGATCCAAACTCACCACGATTTATAGTCCATTAACTTCAAATGATGATAAACAATATTTGACTTTTCGACATTACTATATGACGCTTAATTGAGAACTTTTTGAATTCCTCATTTGAATTAGAAGATGGAAGAAGAGTACTTCTTGTTTTCTGTTTTATCTCTAATATGAAGAAGCATAGTTTCGTGGCTGATTGTGTCCGTAATTTTCTTAATGCGTATTCGACGATGACGATACACGTATTGTCTTTAGAGTTCTTTAATATTCTTTCCAAAACAATGTTGAAAGTCGTCAGTCCCCCCAACTTGATCACAACAGCGCTACAACCTATTGGCTTTATTGCAGCTATCTTAAATTTATTTCAAAATACCCATACTTTACTGTCGCTGCCAACCTTTTCGTTGAAATTTTTTCGTTGTTTGCTTCGGGTGAAATCGAAAGTCCATTCTTTTTTCGTTTTTTTTTTTTTTTTAAAGCTATGAAAATGAAGAAATTATGGCAGGTAAATTCCCTTTTAATGACTGATTGCAGATGTTATCTTTATAACCGTGAGCCACAAAACTGCTTTCGATTGCACGCAACACGGTTTCGGCGCAAAATGTTGCCCAATTCTAATAATTTTGTTTTCGTGTCGTAAACTGGAGGTAAATTCTACTAACACTTTCTTCGGCTGAAAAGTTGTACTTTTGGATTCTTAATTTGCTTGTCAAATTGGTTTCTTGTAAGCCGTTTATGGTCTGCATATCAATAACTTCTTGACTTAGAAGATAAGATTTATCATATCATTTTACTTTTTATCTTTTCCATCTTCCGCCTAGTAAACACTGACACCTACTAAAATGGAAGACGTAAACTATAATCTTTAATACTGGAAGATTACTCAAACATAACCTGTTCTTCTCACAAGTATTAACATGAAACTGATGACGAACGTTAAAAGTCTATATTACTATTTTAGTATAAATCTACAAGCGTTCTATCACGCATGCCGTTCTTCGCGAGATCGTCATGTAAAACGCGTTCTTCGCGAAGTTCTCATTTAAAACGTGTTCTTCGCGAGATCGTCATGTAAAACGCGTTCTTTGCGAAGTCCTCATTTAAAACGCGTTCTTCGCGAGATGATCATGTAGACCATTTTCCTAGCAAGACTGTCGTGTAAAAACCTTTTTCCGTGCGACTGCCATACATGTGAATGTGTTTTCTCGCGGTATCTCTGTGTGAAAATCCTTCCGCGCGCTTTCTTTGCGGTAAAACTCTCCGCTCGTGGGATCGTGTTGGAGACCTCTTTCCTTTTAAGGTGGCTGAACACAGTTTTTGATACCTGTATTTCATTCACCTTTTTCTCTAAAACCCTTGATCTCTCGGTCGCCAAAAACGGCAGCAAGCAAGTTAACAACACAAACTTTGGTTTTTTGATGGTTAAGCCGACGTATGTGCCGTTGCCATGGCAACACGAATAAGAATAAACAGGCCTTTAAAATCGGTTTTGTTTATTTGTAGAAAATCTAGTCATTAGATTTTATAATTTGCATGCAACAAGCTTGTAACGATTCTTACAAGTT